TACATGTCACCTTCTCAGTGAGAGCCTCTTCGGCCATCCTAATTTAAAATGCAACCCCCACTCCCATCTCTGCACTCTCTATCCCCTCCCTCACCTTACTCTTTTCTCATAGCAGTCACCACCATCTGACATGCTGAATATTTCACTGATCAAAACTCCAGGAAGGCTGGGACTTTTGTTGTTCACCGCTACATTATCCTCAATGTCTAGAACAAGCAAATGCCAGATGCCCAGTGAATAATGGCTAAATTAAATAAACCATGAATTCCTTAAATTTCAGGATGACCTGCAGCCAAAAACACATTACCACTGAGTCCAATTTCCCTGACCAGCAATGGAACCCAGGCCCCCTGAGTCTTAGTCACTGGATCACCAGAGAAGTCCCATACCGGCTATAACTTAACACGCACTCTCAGCATTCCTCAGCATAATAACTAAAATAACTAAAAATAATGCCCATTAAAGACATTAATAAACTGAATTATATTCAACTTATTTGACCAGTCTCTATAAGGCAGGTAGGACTTTTAATGGACCTCAAAGGTTTCCAAAGAACAGAGAGATAGAGAAGAATATTTCAGGTTAGAGAATAGTAGAAATATAAGTAAGGGTCAATAAAGAGGCTGGCCTGCTTGGAGTCGGGAGCTGGGGGGAAGAGGGGGAAAACCAGATGCCAAGATACACACACTTAGCTGGGGGGACCATGCAGCAACCACACATCCAATCAGTCAGCAAGTCCAGTGGCTCCATCTTCAGAATACAGTAAGTCCCCTACATACGAACAAGTTCCGTTCCAAGAGTGCATTCATAAGTCCAATTTGCTCTTAATTCCAACAAAGTTAGCCTAGGTACCCAAGTAACATGATTGGCGATGTAGTACTGTACGGTAGTAGGTTTATAATACTTTTCACACAAATAGTACATAAAAAGCAAACAAAAAATGAAACATTTTTTATCTTATAGTATGAAAAGTACAGTAGTACAGTACAACAGCTAGCATATAGGAGCTGGCACTGAGTGAACAGGCAAGAAGTGTTACTGAGGAGGGAGAGGAGGTGGGAGACAATAGAGCCGAAGGAATGTCAGCAACAGGAGATGGAGGGCAAGCTGCAATTTCACTCATGCCTAATGTTGATGGAACACACGTTTGCATCTCTGAAAGTTCGCAATTTGAAGGTTCTTATGTAGGGGACTTCCAGCACCAACCCCACCTCATCATCTCCACTGCTCCCATTCTGGTCTGAGTCACCAATCTCTCATTCACTTGGACTATTGCAAGGCTCCCCACAGGTTGTCTGCTTCCACCTTTGCCATCTTACAGATTATTACCAATCCACGAGACAGACCAAGCTTTGCCCACAGTAAAAGATGAAAGTCATCCCCTGACTTACAAAGCTGTCATTCCTTTCCCATTTCCTTCTATGATATCACCTCCTACTACTTCCCCAGCACTCACTCCATGGCAGCCATGCTGGCCTCCTTGCTCTTCCTTCCTCACCACCTCTAGGCCACTGGGCTTGCTCTTTCCCCCACCTCTTCCCCTGGATATGGTCGTGGCTCACTCCCTTTACTATTCCTGTCCTGGCTACATGTCACCTTCTCAGTGAGAGCCTCTTCAGCCATCCTAATTTAAAATGCAACCCCCACTCCCATCTCTGCACTCTCTATCCCCTCCCTCACCTTACTCTTTTCTCATAGCAGTCACCACCATCTGACATGCTGAATATTTCACTGATCAAAACTCCAGGAAGGCTGGGACTTTTGTTGTTCACCGCTACATTATCCTCAATGTCTAGAACAAGCAAATGCCAGATGCCCAGTGAATAATGGCTAAATTAAATAAACCATGAATTCCTTAAATTTCAGGATGACCTGCAGCCAAAAACACATTACCACTGAGTCCAACAACTCTAGGCTACAGGACAGTACATGGCCAGGACTGTGTGGACTGACTCACACAACCATGTTTTCTGCCTTTTCCAGAGATGGAGAATAAAACAGCCAATTATTGCCATTTCTGTATGTTACGGGCTGAGCTGTGCTCTCCCTAAATTCATATGTTGACATTTTAATCCTTAGGACCTCAGAATGTGACTGTCTTTGGTTGTTGTTTAATCACTAAGTTGAATCTGACTCTTCGGCAACTCCATGGACTGTAGCCCACCAGGCTCCTCTACCATGGAATTTCCCAGGCAAGAATACTGGAGTGGGTTGCCATTTCCTTCTTCAACTGTCTTTGGAGACAGGGACTTTAAGAAGTGATTAAATTAAAATGAGGCCATTAGAGTAGGCTCTAATCTAGTATCATCAGTAACCTTAGAAGAAGAGGAGATTTAGACATACAGGAAGTCCCCAGGAATGAGCACATACAGAGAAAAAGTCATATGAACACATGGCAAGAAGACGGCCATTTATAAGCCAAGGAGAGAGGCCTCAGAAGGAAACGAAACCTTGAACTTGGATTTCCCGCCTCGAGAGCTGTGAGAAATAGATTTCTGCTGTTTAAGCCACACAGCCGGTGCTGTTTGGTTACAGCAGCCTTGGCAAACAGGTATACCGTGTATGCCCAGTAGTTCGGCCAAATGGGAATCACTCTCACAGAAAGGACTGAGTCATGGTCACCAACACCCTGACAATAACACCGGAGGGATCAATGCCTCCAACACACGAAGCGCTTCCATCTTGGCCAGGATGGATTCTTGAACGCAGGGAAAGGATGATGTCGGGGGAGGGGGGTCAGAGAGGCCTGGCAGCCAGGAGAGTCTTGCTGTAGCTGTGTACCCCAACCTGCTCCCCATGATCCCTATATCCATGGGGCAGCAGAAAAAGACCACAAAATTTCTCAGCATTGGAGAGAAACAGGTAAGATCCCTCCTCAGGGGACTTCCCTGATGGTTCAGTGGCTAAGACACCAAGCTGCCAATGCAGGGGACCTGGGTTTGATCCCTGTCAGGAAACTAGATTCCACATTCTGCAACTGAAAAGAACCTATATGCCGCAACAAAGATCAAAAACCCCAAGGCCAAAACCAACCCAACCAAAAAAAAAAAAAAAAAAAATTTTTTTTTTTAAGAAAAGAAGATCCTTTCTGAAAAAAATCAAATTAAAAGACAAATTGAGTTAGTGTTACTAAAAAATTAAAAGTTAAATAGATTGGGACTTCCCTGGCTATCCAGTGGTTAAGACTTCACCTTCCAACGCAAGGAGAGAGGGTTCAATCCCTGGTCAGGAAGCTAAGATCCCACATGCCTTGAGGCCAAAAAATGCAAACACAACAAACAGAAGCAATATTGTAAGAAATTCAATAAAGGCTTTAAAAATGGTCCACACCAAAAAAATATTTTTTAAAAAAAGCTAAATAGATACTATAAAGTGTTACATAAATAAAGGCTGTATGAAACACAGCACAGAGAAGGCGGCATAATCAGCGTGTGGAGCAGAGAGAAAGTTCTCTCTTTGGTTCTCCCAGCACCAAAGCAGAGAGCAGAGGGCTGAGTGCACTGAGGAGGTCCTGAGACACAGTACTGTGAACTGCCCTCCCGGGATGGGGAATTTTCAGGGATAAGTTGAGCAGGAATTCAGTGCAATCACAAACAGGAAAAAAATCATCAGTCTGAGACTGGTCACACACTTAGGCTTTGTTCCCACATCTAGGATTGCTTCTAATTCCCCAGGAGTAACTTTATATTAATATTTGGCAGAGTGCATTTGGCACACTCAAAAAATTAGAGAAAATAAAACTGAAAATTGGGAGATTAAATAGGTTTCTTTACTGCAGAACTTCTCAGAACTCAAAGTACATTTGTAAATCTCCCCCAAATGATTAGACCATAAATCCTTTTTTCCCATGAGAATTTCAACTAACTAGTATTTTCAGGAGCATCCCTTTAAAACTTCCTGATATTGCTAGTGGGTAGAAAAGGCCAACCAACCCATGGTGAGCAACACAATGCAAAGCACCAAACTAAAACAGTAGTCAAACCCCAAAGCTGTGCTTTCAGACCAGCAGATATTTGTAGAGAAAGGGGGGAAGCAAAACAAGATAGAACAAAACAACAGTGATCCAACCAGTAAATAGCATTCAACTGTGGCTGATTTCTTTTCTTACGTAATTAATATTATTGTTTCTATGTGGCTCTGGGCTGAAAATTCTACCTCAAAATAATCCTTGCAAAATGGGTTTGAAAATCACTTTCACTTTACAGATTAAAAAGCTGGAGCACAGAGAGGCTAAGACTTTGCTGAAGATCACACAGATAGTAATGGACAGAATCAGCCTCACACTCAATTAGGGAGGTAATACCAAGAGCCTTTAAAAACAACAGCCTGAAACACTTAAACAGAGCACCTGTTATACACCCAACACAGTGCTGGAGGAAAAAAAAATCACAGCCTGGAGATAGAACCAATTCCAAGAAGCAGCTAGGACTGTTCTACCTTCTCAAGAAGAACCAGCCAATCTATGTTAGTCACTCAATCGTGTCTGACTCTTTGCAATTTCATGGACTATGGCTTGCCAGACTCCTCCATCCATGGAATTCTCCAGGCAAGAATACTGGAGTGGGTAGCCATTCCCTTCTCCAGGGGATCTTCCCAACCCAGAGATGGAACCCAGGTCTCCTGCATTGCAGGCAGATTCTTTACCATCTGAGCCAGCAGGGAAGCCCCTAGTCAGCCTTGGGCTGAGACAAAAATCTCAGAAGCAGATGGTTCTGCCAGAACAGCGAAGAATCTGAAACTGGGTTCAAGGTAAAGATAGCTGACTGCAGGAAAGGACAGAATGCTTGGAAGTCAAGAGAAACACAGTTCAGAGACTCATGAAGTCTATGATGGATGGAGAAAATCCACAGAGGGCAGGAAGCAGACATCCCTTTTGCTGCCAGCTGCCTCCCCAGGAGCTGGAACACACGGTCGTTTCCCGCGTCCTGGTGACATAGCAGAGGAAGGCTCCTGTGAGAACACCCTCGGAATGGTTGACCTGGTTTTGCCTTTGTACTTACCACAGTAGTCGTACCAAACGGTGGCGTCAGAGGAGTTGCAGACCCAGCGTTTTTCCTCAGGTTCAGTAAATATGGAAGAAAACAGGACGGAAAAAAGCACAAATGGAAACATGATTCAATCTCTCCAAAACTTTAAAAATGTAAGGAGAATCTGTAACTAATCTTCAGACTCTTCCCCTTTATTTTTAGTAAAGGGAAAAAAATGTAACTTAGTCATCAGTCACATGATTTCTGAGTTCCTATCCAACTGTTTCCTCTTTTGAATGTGTGTGTGCGTGTGTGTGTTTAATATTTGAGCACTTCCTGCAAGAGGAGAGGAAAATGATTTAGAATGTACTCTTCAACGGAGTGATACAAATGAGAGCACAGCTTTAAAAACAAAACAGGTACTTCCTGGTCAATAGTAACCAAACCCCTCTTCCTTAGAAGCTCAAAAGCCCAGCACTCTTTATCCCTTTGTGTTGCTATTCTCTCCCACAAGTTCTTTTTCTTTTTTTCTTTAAACCCTAAGCACACCCTCCTATTTTTTCTTATTTATGGCTAGATGCTTGGCTTGAAAGCATGAAGTCCTAGACAGCCAGGGAATTCCCTCCCACAAGATCTTTATACATCAATTCTTACCGCCCAGAGAGCAGGACCTTCAGCTCTGAACTGAACAGTGTTCATGCACAGTGTTTTTGCTCGGTGACAGGTTGAGCCAAAGGGTAGAGACTGGCTGGATGAGACCTCAGATACAGGACACTAGTCAGAGTTCTGCATTATGGGCAGGGGTCCCACCATGCTTGAGAATGCCCTTACTTTAGCAAACTACAGGTCCAGGGAATACCTTGAAATAGTCATCATTTTGGGTGTGGAATTTATTTCATTCCAAAACTCTCACTCTGCTCTAGAAAAACAGCTAACCCTTTAGATGCTTTGCTACCTAAAATCCTTTAAAGGACAATGGCCTGTGGATTAGTAGCCAAAAATAGCATAGAGTTGAAGCCTTCAAATTTACAAGTTTAGAGGAAAATAATCATATTTGTAAAAGGTTTTTGTACTGAAGAATGGTCCTACTTTATCGTTTGGTTTTTTTAAGGCAAAAATTCATGGGGTAGGGGTTGGGCTAGTGAAATGGGGAGTTGCTCAATTGGTATTATTTCAGGTTGGCAAGACGGAAAGTTCTAGAGATCATTGCACAACAAGGCAAATATAGTTAACACTAGAGTCTTTGTTCCTTTTAGTGTATTTTGAGACTACTAGAAGCCTGCATGGGTGTGTCCTCTTTCTTCCCCCCACTTTTAAAATACATTTTTATATTATGGAAAAAACATATAATATTTACCATCTTAACCAGTTTTTTTTTTTGGACACACCGGGTATGATCTCAGTTCCACTAAAAGGAACAAAGACTCTAGAGAAAGTGCTGTTTCAGGTCTGAGGCAGAAAAGGTATAAGATGAGCCCAGAACATCTTACTGTATCAGATAACCAATCTGTTGACAGTCCCATTGACCAAAGAATGGTTTCCTATTGCTGCTTAAGAAATAGCCACAAATTTAATGCGTTAAAAACAATACAAATGGGGGCTTCCCTAGTGGATCAGTGGTAAAGAATCTGCCTGCCAGTGCAGAAGACATGGGTTTGATCCCTGATCTGGAAAGATCCCACAAACCACAGAGTGGCTAAGCCCATGTGCCACAATTACTGAGCCTGTGCTCTAGAGCCAGGGGGCCACAGCTGTTAGCCCATGTGCTCTAGAGCTGGTGCTCCGCAACAAGAGTAACCCCATGTCCCTGCAACTAGAGGAAACCCTGGCAGCAACAAAAATCCAGCACAAACCCCTCCCCCCAAAAAAATAGAAATGGGGGATTCACTGGTGGTTCAGTGGTTAGGATTCTGTACTTTCACTGCTTAGGCCCAGGTTTGAACCCCAGTTGGAGAACTAAGATCCTAAAGCTGCCTGGAACACCCAGGGGAAAAAAAAAAATCTCTTATAATTCTGAAGGTTGGAGTCCAAATCAGTTTCTTTTTTTTTTAATTTATTTATTTTAATTGGAGGCTAATTACAATATTGTAGTGGTTTTTGCCATACATCGACATGAATCAGCCATGGGCACACATGTGTTCCCCATCCAGAACCCCCCTCCCACCTCCCTCCCCATCCCATCCCTCTGGGTCATCCCAGTGCACCAGCCCCGAGCACCCTGTCTCATGCATCAAACCTGGACCAGCAATCTGTTTCACATATGATAATATACACATTTCAATGCTACCCTCCAAATCAGTTTCAATGGACTAAAAGCAAGGAGTCAACATACTTAGTTCCTCTGGACTCTCCAGGGGAACAATTCATTAACTTGCCTTTTTCAGTTGGTGGGCTGCAATTCTTTCATTCCTCCATCTTCAAAATTCAACACTGCATCATCTCTGCTCCCATCATCACATCACCTTCTCCTCTGATCTCCTGCCTCCCTCTTATAAGGACCCTGTGATTTTATTGCAACCATTTAGACAATACAGGATAATCTTCCCATCACAAGATCCACCTATAAAATCCCTCTTGCCATTTAATGTAACATTCATAGCTCCCAGACTTAAACATTCAGCCTGCCTGTAGACTGTATGATCATTAATAAGATAGTAACTTTGGTGTATTGAAATACATCAAAAATATTCAAATCCATGAGCTCATAATACTTGTTTAAAGTCTAATCAGCCAATGACACTAGGAAACTAATTCTACTTTGAAAACTGATAAAGGGAAAGAATCCAGCATTTATCCTGACCTTTCTATGGAGACTGAACTACTGGTAACCAAATAGTACAGAGAGGCACGTTTCCCTTGCCTTCTCATGCTGTCTCTTTTAGAAATATTAGAGCTGTACGTGAAAAAGGAATGATAGAATAGAACCATTTTACAATATCTAATGAATTAGTGAACTTAGGCAACACAACATCAGAGGTTGCTAACATCACAAAGAGAGATAAGAAGACATCATATACCTCTCAATGGATGAACAGGGTGGTAGCCTATCTCTAAGACAGCTCCCAATTATCCTTACTTCTTGGTATGCAAATTCTTGTGTAGTCCCCTCCAACAATGAATAAGGGTGACTGTGTAACTAAGAAAATATTGCACAATGATAAAGTGCAACTTCCAGAATAGATCATAAAAGCCTCTACCTTGTTCTCCTGGATCAATTGCTCTGGGGCAAACAGTAGCTCTAAAGAGAGATCCATGCAGTAGGAAACGAAGGCCTCCTCCCAAAAGGCCAGCACCACACATAGATGTGAGAGTTGAACCATAAAGAAGGCTGAGTACCAAAGAATTGATGCTTTCGAATTGTAGTGCTGGAGAAGACTCTTGAGAGTCCCTTGGACAACAAGGAGATCCAACTAGTCAATCCTAAAGGAAATCAACCCTAAATATTCATCAGAAGGGCTGATGGGGAAGCTGAAGCTCCAATACTTTGGCCACCTGATGCAAAGACCTGACTTATTGGTAAAGACCCTAATGCTAGGAAAGACTGAGGGTAGGACGAGAAGGGTGACAGAGGATGAGATGGCTGGATGGAATTATCGACTCATTGGACATGAGTTTGAGCAAACTCCAGGAGACAGTGAAGGACAGGAAAACCTGGCGTGCTGATCTTCACGGGGTCGCAAAGAGTCGGACAGGACTAAGCAACAAACTACAAAAAAATGTGTCAGTCACATGTGTGAGCCACCTTGGAAGCGGTTCCTTCAGATGACAGGAGCATCAGCTGATATCTTCACTGCAACCGCAGGAGAGAACCTGAGCCATACCCACTCAGCTGAGTCATTCCCAAATACCCAACCAAGAGACACTGTGCAGTTATAAACATTTATTGTTTTAAACCACTACGTATTAGGGGCAGTTTGTTATACAACAATAGATAATTAATATGAACATCAGCTATGAATCAGTCTTGTCCAAACTAATCAAATCTCAGTCTGATGAAGCCTCAAGTCCAACTACCAATTTATAGCAAATACAGTAGACAGAGAAATATTAACTACACCTTGAGAATATAATCAGAAAAATCTAGACTGTGAAAACATGTATAGGACAAAAATCTCAGTTTTTTCAACAGATGATGTGCAAGAGGAGGGAAAAAAAGAGGAAATTCCCTGCTGGTCCAGTGGTCAGGATTCCTCACTTCCATTGCTGGCAGTCAGGTTTGATTCTTTTTTGAGGAGCTAAGATCCCACAAGCTGCATGGCACAGCCTAAAAACAAAGTGAAAGAAATAGAAGGGCCCACAGATTAGGAGTCTTAAAACACATTTCAAAAGTAGGTGTAAATAAGGTGAGAACTTTACTTAAATCTTAATCCAAACAGAGGGGGGAAATTATGAAACAATTGGAAATTGGTAGACTGGATATTTGATAACTTTGGGATCAGGGACAGCTTAGGTATAATGGTGTTGCTATTTAAGTCCTTATTTTGTGGATAAGGGGCTTACCTGGTGGCTCAGACAGTTAAGAATCTGCCTACAATGCAGGAGACTCGGGTTCAGTCCCTGGTCAGGAAGATATCCTGGAGAATTAAATGGCAACTCACTCCACTATTCTTGCCTGGGCAATCCCATGAACAGAGGAGCCTGGTGAGCTATAGCCCATGGGGTCACAAAGAGTCGGACATGACTGAGTGACCAACACTTTCACTTTCACTTGTAGAATTACAAAATTAAATATTTAAGAAAGAAATACTATGATGTCTGCAACTTGCTCCCAAATAAAAGTAGAGGGCAGGAGGTCTAGAGGAAACAATACTGACCACAAATTGGTAATTGCTGAATCTGGATAACCATCCTTTTTCTGAAAAAATCCTAATACAATTTTAACAAATGAGTCATTCATACCTAATGACCATTTTGTTACTTTTGCTATTGTCTTTCAGTGTGATGTAATTATTAATAAACTGAGGGAAAGGATTACATCTTATTGTCGAGGGTATGCTATCTGATGTAACCCAGATATCCAAAGGAATCACCCTGTCTTCCGAGACTCAAATAAACCTTACTCAATATCCTTCCCAGAGATTGTGGGAGATTCATCAGGGTCTCAGTCTTTCCAGGATTACTCTGCCGGGGGAGAGGGTAGTGAAGTGGCATGGAGGGATGTGCATGTATTTTCCCCTTATCTTGGCCTGAGTTGCTTCTGCAGATTTATTTCACTGATGAATCATCATGGTATCCTATGCATGCTGATCCTTTTCTCATCTTGGCCTCACTCCAGATCATGCCCTTGAGAAGACATCTT